AGAATATATTTATGCATGTTTCAAGAATATACAGTGAAATTTTTGAAGAAAAAAATTAAATATTTTTTAAGTTATAGTCGATCTCCAACGGGGAGAAAAAAAGGTCCTTCACTGGTGCAGTCATTCCGGCCTTCTTCGTGGATGAAATTTAAAAAAAAAAATTCTCGTTAAACTAGATAATATTACATAAATATCGAAAATATAAATATAAAAAAAATCAAAATTTTACAATATGGCGGCGTTTTTAACAAATATGATTTTTTGATCAGATCAGAAATCGATGGGTCATTGTACGGAGAACTACATATAGAACATGTAAAAAAATTCGATAGTGATCGGATCATTTGTTTTTGAGTAATCACTGCAGCAAATTCGGAAAATGCTGTTTCGAGAAAAACGCGTTTAAAGATAAAATGATCGTTTTCACTCGCAGCTAATGAGACTCTCTAGCTGCCGAGCGGCTGCTCTTTAAATTGCTATAACTCAAAAACTATTTAAGATATCGATTTGAAATTTTAATATATTATTTTTAAAAGTGTAATCTACCGAAATATGAACAAAAATTTCACACAAGATGTGCCCCTTAAACTGCTCTAAGGACAACTAATGGTTCGCTTTTAGCTATTCGAACAGTTGCGGTCTCTGATGTTTTTCTGCGATTTATGTATTTTAGATTGAAACCATATCTGAGTATGGTAGTATCCTGGAATCAGGTGTTGTGCTCTCATAAAGCTTGGTAAAATGATAAGCGATACGTTTTATTTAACCAACAAAGTAGGTAAACAACTTAGAAGAAATTTCCTAAGTGGATATAAAGCAAAAAAAATATATATATGCAGTAAATATAAAAAATATTTACGTAAAAGTATATAAACCTAAAATTGTTAGAAAATTATATATACACAGATTATTCGTTTTAGGCACCGTATATTTTAAGTCCATCTTGACTAACCGAGCTCAAGTTTAGAAATACTCGTACCTATGTATATATAACGCCGTTCAACTGAACTGCAAACAACTTTTAGACAAAATGTGTACATTCGGGTATAAATTATTATTATTTTTATTTTATTTCATATCAAAAGTAATAAATTTTTTGTGTTACTTTTATACAATAAAATCATTATATACAAAGCCACAAGGCATCTCTTGGATATTACCAAAAGAATAAGCGTAAAATAGGAATCACAATTATTGCGTTATGCCATCATAATTAAACTAGTTTGCATGAAAGTAAATTACTGACGAATGAACTCAAAAAAGTACCATACTCGCACATGTTGTTGCGTCAACTGTAATGATTTTGAATGAGATGTGGGCCTCATTTATGCTAATGCCCATTTAACTGTCGTCACCAACTTGCCCAATGCAAATTCATAATTTTTCCCAGCTTAATGCTGTAAGTTGTAGCACACAATTATGCCTGCAACTTGTAACTTATTTCATAAAACGTTGCAATTATTATTGTTGTACGTGTAGACAACAATTGAAATGTTGCGGTGAATACCCTAACTAAGTTGAATGTGGCTAGAAACTATTCCTCCGTCAATATTCTGGTTAAATGTTGATAACACGATGTACAACATGAGCAACTGTGATTCACTTTGTGGTCAACCATTTTCACAAGAAAGACTGATTCGACGTCAGTATTAAGTAAATGTCAATTTGTAAAAAAAAATTCTTAAATGTAAACATACTTATAAAGGGTGATTTTTTAAGGGCAATAGGAAAGTTTTTCAAAAAAAAAAAAAAACAGAAAAAAAAACATATAATTCAGAAAAATGGAAGAAATCGTTATTTAAGTCGATAGAACAGTTCATATAATTTAATGTTTAAAAATTATTCCATGCAAATATTCACCGTGTCTACTCCTCAAGTGGTCCATCCGCTTAGTCCAATTTTGGCATACTCTTTCCAACAATACGACCTGTATCTCACGAATAAATGCTTCAATTTTGTCCTCCAATGCGTCATTTGAAGTGGGCTTTTATGTACAGACATTAGATTTAACGTAGCCCCACAAAAGATAATCTAAAGTCAGTAAATCGCACGACCTATAGGGCCAATTGACCGGTCCCGAACGTGAAATAAAATGTTCAACAAGCACGCCTCTCAAAAGGTCTATTATTATGAGTGCTGTGTGGCATGTGGCACCACCTTGTTGAAACCAATTGTCATGCAAGTCAAGCGCTTGCATTTTGGTCAAAAAAAGTTTGATACCATCTCACAATAGAGTCCACCATTTATAGTTACGCTACGATTCTCATCATCTTTGAAGAAGTTCGGTTCAATAATGTCACCAGCCCAAAAACCGCACCAAACTGTGACTTTCTGGATGCATTGGTAGTTCTTGCAATGCTTCTGGCTGATCTTCACTCCAAAATCGACCATTCTTAACAGAGCACGCATTTCCATAATAAAATTCAATAATTTGCAAGCGTTGTTCGTTTGTAAGACGATTCATAGTTAAATTGTAGACCAAACTGAAGATGTTTTACAGTGAGACAAAACACGAAACGTGCGTCAGCTGTTTAAACCAGTGTGGCAAAAAAGATAATTGCTAAAAAGCTACGCTTTATATCCCATTGCAAAATTATAACCACACCCCGGTAAACTCAAAAATTTGCCTTAAGTGTAAAAGAGACCAGCGAGATCTTTACCAACTACCCTGCACTTCGATTTGGTATTTTCAAGCTGGTTCCATAAATACCAAATTTGTTCACGTTGGCAAAAACGAAATCATATCTGCCGATAGATTTTGGGGAAGAAGCTTTTTGATGTAGGTGTAAAAATTTATTCTGCCCGCCTTTTGTGTTCAAAAAAGTGTTTTTATTAAAAAAAAAATAAAAAAAATTCAACATAATCTGAGCCCATCGGAAAACGAACACTCTTTTCCATTTTTCCGGTAGTTTTTGAAAACTATCTCTAAAATATGAGTCAGTTCCGTCCTCGAAACAAACCGTGAGCCATTTTTCGATTTTTGGAAAACACAGGAACAGTAGTCGGAAGGAGCAAGATTTGTAAAACAGGGTGGAATAGTAACACATCTCACTTTCGCGTTTCCTGATAGTTTTTTGTCGGTACAGCTACGTGGGGTTGAGCGTTGTCATGGGGTTTGGTTGTTTCCGACCGAGGATTCAATATAAACTGTCATAAGCATACGATATACTTTCAGTTTTGCTGGTGTTGTTTAAATGATGTTTCTTTTTTTGTAAATAAAATGACAGTATAAATTATAAAGAAATTTTAATAATTATTTTCATTCGTCAACAACTGCCCAACCCGGTGCGGGTCTTCACATGCTGCAATTTAATTCTACAATGTTTTCTGTCTCTTGCTTGAGCTCGCCACCATTGCAGCTCAAGCGCTTCAGTGTTCTGTTTCACACCAACAATACATCTAAGCTGTGGTCACCATCTGCTTTTGCTTTTTCTGCGTTTGTTCAGAAGTTTTCGTTCGGGCGATTAATATGGGGGTGCTTATTATACATAGTCTGTATAGCTCGTGGTTATATCGCTTTCTCTGTAAGCTATCGGGAGTTTTATCTTCATTTATTTTAAAGACCTGTCCTTTTCGTCAGCGTAGGCCCAATTTTGAGTCGATTTGAAAAAACGTGCCTTTACAGTTTACTTTAGACTCCCTTGGCACGAGGTCCAACTTTTCATAGGCCGTTTTTTTTTTTTTTTTTTTGATATAAATTCACTAGATAAAGGGTTTTCAACTATCATAGTAAATTAATTTATTAGGCAAACCTAACTCATATAAGACCCTATAGAGAAGTGTTACATAATATTTGATGATATTATTATCCTGAGTTTTTTTCGCTTCATGGTATGGACGTAATAGTTGTTATAGAATATTTGAGATTATTTTGTACGATTTATTTAGCAATGTAATTTATTTATAGTTCTCAAATCCTTTTTTGAACACGAGCCATATCATTCCATCTAGGAAAGCATAGTTCATACATTTATACAGCTGTGCAGGTATCTCATCTGTTCCAGAGGCTTTGAGCTTTTCAAGCGCCTAATAGAGTCCGTGATAGCCGAGTGGTTAGCTTTGCTTACTGCCATTTGAATGGTCAGCGTTCAAATCCTGGTACGAACAACATCCAAAAGTAGAGAAAATTAAAATAAAATAAAAAATTAAATTAAATTTTTTAATTGCGGTGGTTCTCGGCGTGGAGTGTATTTCTGACATGAAATAAAGGCTCCTGATAAAATAAAGCCATCAGCCATTCGGAGACGATTTAGTATAAAAAATTTAGTTGGGAAATCATCAAGACACATGCCACAAATTGGAGAGAAGCTCGGCCGAAATCGGTTCAGCGGTTACCAAGCGCCAATTTTATATTTAGATAAATATTATATATAAATAAATATTATTCCATTTCGGACTTTAATGAATTAAACAACTTCTAATCTCCATTGAACTTGGTGTTGTTTCAAAATATTTCCAAAAAAAACCCCTGCCACAACACCATTTTAGGCAATCAAAGAAGGTCTTAAATCCAATGAATAGGCCATGAGTCAATCGTTTCAATGCCATAAAGTTTTCCTTCTCTAAATGGTAACCATAAGATTGAAAACAACCTTCTTAGTAGTCTTAAGACATTTCAGTAATTCTTCTTGTAAACTTTTCATGCCGTTCTCTCGTCACGCTTTTGGCACGCCGAGACTTACTATGTGTTTCCTACTTCAACAGCAAGCTTTGATCGAGAGGTCTACTTTCTTTTTCTTTTGCTACGCTTACCACAAGTATCATAATTGAATCCCTAAATACAAGATAGCTTATAACTTACAAAAACTTAAAAAAATGTTAAAAAGCGCAGTTTACAACATTGGTTTTCTTTATTATTACATTATGTTTTATAACAACAACATTTTCAAAGTTGTCAATTGAATTTCAATTTATTTCGAAAACTCTCATTTTTTGTGGGTTTTTATTTGTGATATTCACATGATAAATAGTTAAATTTACAAATAGTTGTTTTTGTTTTCACTAAATTAAGTTTTAAATTAAATCTGCATTACAAAGTAGTAAAGCTGTGTAACTATAAATTATACTAAACAATGATTTAACAATACAATGCAATACAATTGTAAACATACATACACAATAGGTGTTCTTCAAGTGTATAATATTTATGTATGTATGTAATAATACAATATTCTTCGTACATATAATAGCTGACGGTTCTTAACTGCTTTTATAATTGAGGTTGATTTTGGGTTTTTATTTTGTTTTTGTAGCCTCTATGATGTTAACGGGATAGGTAAGGGCGTTGGGCGTTGATCGTTGGTATATATGTATGTATATACATATGTATGTATGTATGTAAGTATGCACGGTTAAAGATGTACAATTATACACAAACACGCTTGCGGACAGCATCCTAGTGTGCAGTATTCATGGATGAATTGCGGCAGCCATATAGTTTAACGGTTTTTCGTTTCATTTCATTTCACTTTTTTTTTTTTTTTTTTTTTTTTTTTTGCTTTGTCAACAGGATTGGATGCATAGCATTTATTTATTTTTCGGGAATCATCAGCTTACTCTGAATGAATGAGAGAGAAATACAAAGTAGAAAATATGAATAAAAACCAATAACTAGCAACAATGGACAAGAAATTTTAACAAGAAAATAAAGCAAAATAAATTAAATGTAGCTTTTTGTTTAAAAATATTTGTGTGCATGCGATTATTTCAAATATTAATGCAACTTGTTTAAGAACATACAGAAATTATAGGGTTAGAACGATTATAGCTCTGTTCGGTGAGAAAGAATTAGCCCGTATCGAAATGTCAAAATTTTGCTCTCTCTCGGTGCAAACTTTATTGGCCTTTTGGATCACCGAATGCGGTTCAGTAAAAATGACTACCCACCAACTCACCGAACATTACTTATCCTACTATTATGATAACTGTATGTGTGCATGTGTTAAGTTTTAAAGAATTCAGGAGAAATTATTCGGTATGCGACATTTTTCGCACACTTTTATGGCAAATATAATAAATAGAGATGTACGATTACAATTTTAAGAAATTTATCCTGAACTCTTGTTTGGTAGCTGGTGCTATTATTAAATGACAATCACATAAATATGCTTACATTTTGAAGTTATCTTATACAATAAATAATTTCCAATTTACATGCCCGATTAGCTGATAGAACTTGCTTTTAAATTATTTACAGTTCGTGCCTCCATTTTTTTCTATAATTAATTATTAATATAATAAATGGAAAAATAAAGATTAGTATAAATCATATAAATGAGTTAATAGATGAAAGGTTTTTTTTAATATTTTTTTTTAAATAACTCCAGAATTTCTAGAACATTCGAACTTTATTTACAATACTTAAAAAATGTATTGAAGTGAATAAACTATTTGACATTTCATCAATGCGCAAAATTTGTAGTTATTTAAATATGAAACTATGAATTTGGGTTAGTTATTAGTATTGTTGATGTTGCTGTTGCTGTAACCAGAACCGAATTGGTTTCAGGGAATATTGCGGAAGGAACAGTTCTTGGCGGAATAAAAATCAGAGTCCTTCCTGTAGACAGTCGACTGTCCAACAATTTAGTCGCCTCTTACGAGAGGCATACCTTGCCACAGGTAAATTATTGAGCCCCTAACCCGCAGGGTGTAGTTAAAAGGGCGTAAAGAACAGATTTAGTAAAGCGATATTAGAAAACACTGAACGAAAACATTTATAAATTTTAGTAAAATAGTAAATTAAGCACTGCTATGCTAAAAGAGGTATCCTTATTTAGTTCGGATAAAAAGTTTTGTGATTCACAGAGTTTAAATAGTTTATAATAATTATTAATTTATAACGCATGCAGAAACATATTAAAAAGAAAGGGATGAGCACAAAATATATGTATGTTGAATAGGTTTTTATACCAAAGCCTGACCGCCTTTACTAGTAGCGTTAAATAAAATTAACCGTAAATTAATGATCACTTAAAGAAGTTAATAAATTACTAAAAAAAAAATATTGTCTAACAATATAATTTAAAAAAAAAATATTATAAAAGAATTTTCAGAAATTCAGAGAAGTGCAGAAAGATTTAAAAAAAGTTTCTTAGTTATGTTTGCATTAAAATAGCAAAAGAAATTAAATAATACGGTAAATAATATTTTTGTAGAAATTAAAAAAATTAATCACTTGAATCACTGAAGAGAATGGTGGGCTCCAATGGGCGAGTTTTCACATATGGCATTCTTGGCCACGGCCATGTAACTGGCATAGATGATTGATAATTAAAGTTGTAGAGCTGATCCTCTAGCCACTTGCGTTTGTCGCTTGGCTCGGGGTAAGTAGATGCCAAACCTAATTGAAGAGATAAAAACATATTTACGTCAATACAAAAGCAATACAAGTACATATATATTCCACTGAACGCACCCTTGTCATAAGCACATTTGGTAACACTTTCCGCAATGCGCATCGATACCTCACGTACAGCGTTCAAAGATGGGTATAGTGAACCGCGATCCAAATCACTTTGATCAACAAAATTGGCCAATTCTCGTGCGGCAATAAGGAACATATCATCGGATATATGGTGAGTGCCAGTGGTGATTACACCTAATGCTACGCCAGGGAAGATATAAGCATTATTGCCCTGGCCGGGATTGTAAGTTTTTCCATTGTACTCCACTGGGGGAAATGGTGAACCGGATGAGAATATAACGCGACCCTTTGAAAAGAGAAAAGTATAAATACTCTCAAATAGCTCTATCGATAAAAGTTTCAAAAGCAGCATGAAAATATCTCAACGTTTTTTGACTTGAGCTCATTTTTATATTATTATATATTTAACATATCATTCTTCTTTTATCGACTTACTTCCGTATTAGTGTAGGCCTGTTCCGCTGTGCATTCGGCCTTATGAGTTGGATTCGATAGTGCAAACACTACGGGGCGTTCGTTATTTGTAGCCATGAGGCGTAAAATTTCTGGTGTGAATATGCCTGCAGCTGCTGAGGCACCAATCAGAACCTATAGGTCATAGCATAAAACTTAGGAAAATATACTGATATTAGTACGTGTATTTTGACTAACATTTGGTTTCACTTTCTCCACAATCTCTTGTAAATTTTTCATTGGCGCAACTTCCTTGGCATAGTTTTTCTGGTGATCCGACAAGGAACCTTCCTGGCGTGTTGTAGTCAAAAGACCATTAATATCAGTCATCCAAATCTTTTGTCTGGCTTCCTGGAATTGACATGAGTGAAAATAAGTTTTTCTTTATACACAGCAGCTCTTTTATCTTACTTCTTTTGGTACACCCTCGGCAACCATAGCGTTCACAATGAGATCCGCAATGCCAATGGCAGCCTCGCCGGCACCAGCGAACATGAACGTGTAATCTGTTATACTTTTGCCAGTTATACGTGTTGAAGCATAAATGCCCGCCAATGCAACCGAAGCAGTACCCTGAATGTCATCATTAAAGGTACAATAAGAATCACGATATCTGTCGAGGAATCTAAATGCATTGTGATTGCCAAAATCTTCAAATTGAATCAAAGTATTCTGGCCATAACGTTTAACAATCGCTTGCATGAATTCATCCAGAAAGTCATCATATTCCTTGCCAACAATACGCTTTTGCCGCAAGCCCACATATAATGGATCCTCCAGCAAATCAATATTGTTGGTGCCTACATCGAGCAAAATTGGCAAGCAACGATGTGGTTTTATGCCAGCTAAAGCGGTGTAAAGAGCCAGCTTGCCGACACAAATACCCATGCCGTTGGCACCCAAATCACCTAAACCTAAAATACGTTCACCGTCTGTCACACAAATGGCACGGACATCCGATTCAGGCCTGGAAAGCAACATATAATTTTGAATTTTTGGAACAAATATATAAATAAATTATATTGATTAAGAGCTTACCAATTTTTAATGACATCAAAAACGTAACCACGATCGTTGAAACTGATAAAAAGACCACGTGGTCGGCGGTAAATCAAGCCGAAACGTTGACAGGCCAAGCCCACGGTAGGTGTATATACAATGGGCATAAGATGCTCTATATTCTCCGCCAAGAAACGATAGAACAAACGCTCATTACGATCTTGCAGATCGACCAGGTACAGATATTTGTTCAACGGCTCCGTATAGCGACTCACGGCAATTTTACACAGCTCCAATTGCTCCTCCTGAGTCTTGAAACGGGCAGGTTGCAGACCATGTATACCTAATGTTTGACGTTCTTCCAATGTGAAGGCCAAGCCCTGTTTAAACAAAGACAATTTAATTATATTGAAAAATTAATAATCCTTGAATATACCATTATATACTATTGTATATAGCTATGTATCTATATAATTATTTTTACAGCTATCTTCTCCCATTTGAGACACTCTACATTTGAGGAGTTGATCCTGTCGAACGTGCTGTTCTGAATCGTTCGCACAGAAACGAGATAGATGAGTAGGTTTAAAGTAACTTACAGGGTCGAGCTGGTAAGCTGTAGGAATATACACTGCGGATCTTGTTAAGAAGAGCATGGTATACTACAGCCTTGTATCAGTCGTGTCAAGGCCTCATGGGTTTCTTAGCGACTAAAAAGTTCTAGTGAGTACTTGGGTCAGGCTCACTTAGCAGAATAGCCTTTCTACAGGGCAAATCTTTAAATATTAGGCCGAGTAAGAAGTTCATTCGGTTTTTATCTAAGTGATCGCGTTATTGTCCATAGTGTTATATATATTATTATATATATTGTGAGCGCTCGTCAAAGATGGACACCAGCAAAGAGAAAATTCGTTTATATTTTACATACAGTATCGGGCCCATAAACTAAATTAATTTTTTCAGCCGCTTTGGCTGTTTTTTCGACTTGATCGAAGAACGTTTAGCACAAAGGTGGTTTACTAGGTTCCGTTCCAATAATTTGGATGTCAAAGATGCACCAGAATTTGATGTGTGTTTGGTTGGATTGCCAAGGGATCATCTACTACGAGCTGCTCCCCTATAGCCAAACGCTCGATTCGGCCCTCTACTGCCAACAGCTGGACCGCTTGAGGGTAGCAGTCATCCCGAAGAGGCCCTCTTTGATCAACAGAGGCCAAATTGTGTTCCATCAGGCCACACACGTCTTTGGTGACGCGCCAGCAGCTCCAGGAGCTCGGATGGGAGGTCCTAATGCACCCACCTTATAGTCCGTACCTGGCACCAGGTGATTACTATTTTTTCCTGTCGATGACTCACGCGCTTCATTGTGAGAAGTTGGTCTAAAGAGAGGCCTGTGAATATTGGCTCTCCGAGTTTTTTGCCAATAGGGACGCAGCCTTCCACGAGGGAGGTATAATGATTGAATGGCATCTCGTTGGCAACAAGTTTACGAGCAAAACGGCGCATATTTGACTTAAATCGGACAAATGTACATAAAGTTATCATATTTTTAAAAATTAATAAAAACCGAAGGAACTTTTTACTTGGCCGATACATCAAGAGGTGACCTATCTAATAGGTATATGAGTATAATGCTACAATTTGCTGAGCAAACTTATGACATTTTGGAGAAGCAATTGCAACTGAGTGCAATTCTGGGATGATATCCTTTATATACAATAGTTGGCGTTTTGTAGCTGCTCAATCAATTTTCGGCGGAGCTCCACCTCCAATTTTTGGGTTTGCATCTAGATGTTGTTAAACTCAACTTAAACGCTTATGGTTTTTTGAGAGAAGCTTTTATTTCGTGTCCGAAATACATTCGAAGGGCTTGACATACCCTGCCGAGGGGCGACTGCCCGAAAACAACTATTTTGTTCGCAGAGTTACATTATTTACTAACATATTTCAAATTAATTAATGGAAGGGATACAAAAGATCTTACTGATGACTTCCAGCTTTCACATATTCCTATCATTTAATGGCAATTTGTAATAATGAAACGAGTGTTGTTTATATCTCCTATTTTTATACAGACTTACTTTATTGCACTCACCTTATTCAATCGTGGATCTCTCAAATGATCGATACCGCGCACACCAGATGGACACACAACATCACCGACGACATCATGAAAGTGTCTAGAATCAGTTGAAGTTATTTGTCGCGCAACAGGCGAAGCAGCTGCTGCTGCTGCAGGACGTGATGCAGCGCATATTTTTGATAGATTTCCATGCAAGCTGTAAAAATAAATATATAAAAATTATGAATACCATTAGTACGTTGCTGAAAATATGTATCTTAGCATGGAGTACACCTCTCAGAGTCTTTCACGATTTTTGCTAGCAAACGTTCGGGTAACTTCATGTTTAATGAATGAATGAATGTGTTATGATAAGGAATTGTAACAAACTGCTTATTTATATATATATTTATTATATAAAAGGAAAACTTTTCGCAAAATATTTAGCAAAGCTCGACGGACGACGGACACCCTGAACGTTTTGTATAATCTTGATGGATTTAAATTTTACGATTTCAAAGCTAATTATGACGATTTCAAATGCATATACATAGTAATATACATATGTACATAAGTGTACTCGTACGTATACACGTCACTAGAAAAGGGTATTCAAATAGGTATTTGTTTATGAATTTCTTTTTATTTCAAAAGGTGATTGAATTTTTCTTACGTGTACTTTTTACTACAGAATATCCAATGGACATTTTACTGATTATTGAAAAAAGACCTGAATTATAGATAATTGGCGCTAAGAAACCGCTAAAGCGATTTTCGGCCGAACTTCTCCTCCAGCAGTTCGTGGTTTCGCGTCTTCATGTTTTCCCAACAAGTGGAGGGACTTACAGTTTATACTATGCCGCCTCCGAACGGCCGATAGATTTTTATGGGGAGATTTTATTTTACGTCAAAAAAACACTCGGCGGACTTGACATTCCCTGCGAAGGGGCAACCACGGATAATTTTGGAAGTTGTGTTGTAGTTGTGAAGTAGTTTTTTCCAACAATAAGAATGATACGATACAAACTTCAACAACAACGCAATAAAATTATAAAAATTCACTATAAATTTGGTGAAAACCTAGCAGAGACGGTTCGTAAAACTAAAATATTTTTCGGTCGTCGTGAAGCATTTGGTCGGACCACAATACAGAAATCGGGGGAAAAAATGGGAGCTGTTGGAACAAATTAGTGATGTGAAGAATAATTCATGTGCACATCGCTCAAGAACAGCTGAGCATATTTCTGTTGTAGTTCAACAAAGTGTTGTGGAAACCCCATGTCTGTCCATTTCTCGCCTTTCTTTGGAATTGGGTATTCCACAAACGTCGTTACAGTGTGTAGGAATCTACTTTAATATTTGTAACTTTCCATTTTAATTTTTTCCGTTTTTATGTTACTGAATTTTAAATTTCAAATATTTTCATATTCTGAATTATTATAATTTTCACCTTCAAACAAACAAGAAAACTTAAATAAATTTGATAAAAATAAATAAAATATATATGTATTCATTTATCTATACAGTGTATTTTGCATAAAGTTGGGTCTTAAGACTAATAAAGTTCAGTGAACATAATAACTCAAGCCGGGCGATTATTACCAATGTCGATTCTTTCCTTATTGGGTGATCTATATGCATGAATTTCATTGAAAACTAATGTCGATTGATGAGGACCATTTTCAGCTCGATCGCTACGATGTGGGGTACGAATCCATACTCAACGTGTAAATGTGGTCATTGGAATTTACTCTTTCGCAAAATGTGGCTGGAGCAACAGTTATGATGAATCAACTGCGCTATCGAGAGATGATTAATGATTTTTTTATGAGCGGAATTATATAATAAGAATCTGGATAATATTTACTTCTCTCGAAGAGGTGATCGCAATTGATCATCGATATCTTATGATTTGACACCTTGCGACTTCTCTCTTTGAGGCTACGTGAAAGATAAGATTCAAGACTTCAAAGATGGAATTCAAGAAGCTATTGAGAGCATAAAGCAGCCACTTTGCGATTTGGTGATGGAAAATTTCATAAAAAGGATATGGCCATTTGGCTGAGATTGTTTTCCTTTATTAATCACATATTTTCCTCTTTACATTGAAATATTAGATCAAGTAAAAAGTTCGTTCGGATTTTTATTGATTTTTAAAAAAATTAGATAACTTTGTGTACATTTGTCCGATTTAAGTCAAATATGCGCCGTTTTGCTCGTAATCTTGTTGCCAACGAGATGCCTTCTCGTGGAAGGCTGCGTCCCTATTGGCAAAAAATCGGAGAGCCAATTTTCACAGGCCTCTCTTGAGGCCAACTTCTCACTATTAAGCGCGTTCGCCATGGGCAGGAAAATATGATAATCACTTGGTGCCAGGTACGGACTATAAGGTGGGTGCATTAGGACCTCCCATCCGAGCTCCTGGAGCTGCTGGCGCGTCACCAAAGACGTGTGCGGCCTGAAATTGTCCTGATGGAACACGATGCGGCCTCTGTTGATCAAAGATGGCCTCTTCGGGATGACTGCTGCATTCAAGCGGTCCAGCTGTTGGCAGTAGAGGGCCGAATCGAGCGTGTGGCTATAGGGGATTCCTTGCCAATCCTACCAAACACACAGCAACTCCTGGTGCATCTTTGACATGGAAATTACCGGAACGGAACCTAGCAAACCACTTTTTTGCTACACGTTCGTTGACAGTATCGGGCCCGTCTTGATCGAAATAAAATTGTAAAAAATAGAGTATTTTCTCTTCGCTGGTGTCCATCTATGACGAGCGCTCACAACGTACTGAGTCAATAAATAGAAAAACTATTAAAGACAAAATTCTAGCGCGAATAAACACGCTTTCACACGTTTCAGCGCCGATAATTTATCTAAAAATTATAATTTTTCTTTGAATATAAAAAATATTTAAAATCCTTTATTAATTTGGATTTTTGTTATTACTTTACTTATTAGAATGAAAACTGAATTTTTTCTCTGCTGACTATAATAAAAAAAAACTTACAAATATATGTATAAGTATGCACTTTTACAATAAATATGCTTTATGTAAATTTTTAGGCGAATTTATTTTACAAAAAACATTTTAAGTTGAATTTGTTTGTTATGTTACTTTAATTAATTTTGACTCCGAATTTCGTAACTTTAAAAATTAGACAATATTTTCATACATGCATACATATATACATAGAGATATTAAAATATATTCGTATGAGTGTGTCATTGGGAGTAGTCAATCAAAATCACATGGCAACTGTTTTTTCCAGCAAAGCACCGAAACTAATCTAAATTTATCTTTTATTTAGAACCTTAAATGACGAAATCAGCTGATAAATGGGGTTTTAACGCGAACTGTGTGATATCAGCAAATTAATACATATAAATGTACATATATATACGTACTGTAATGGATATGTGCGTATTGCGTAACGAACAGCTGATTTTGTTTTTATCATTTATTCACATAGAAATTTTTATGTGGTACATATGTCTGTGTACATATATGTATAAATATCGGAATGTTGTATAAATATGTATGAATAATTGAACGCTTATACCCGTTTGTTTATGTACTATTAATTAATTGTTTATATTTTTTTTTTAGAACTCGTAAGGCAAATCTTTTATGGATTTAACTAAATAAATATGTGTATATCAACACTTACATATGTACGTGTACGCACATATTGATATTGCGCTTATCATACTGTATTTATTAACACGGTACTTCGACCATGACCATATCCAATAAGAAAATAATAAATAACAAATGCTTACTGCACAAAATTATAAAAAAAAATTAATTTTTTTTCCAAGGCACAACTTAATGATAAATTTCACATTTATTAAAAAAAATGGATTCGGTTGAAGAATTTTGGGAATGTTATCGTCAAAGCAATTAGCAAAATAAATTTTATTTTGCATTTATCCGAAAAGCTGTCGTTAATGATAAATCGTTAACAGATAATGTTAAACCTTGAAATTGAACTGTTATGTTATATCATAGCTAGCAGCCATTTTAAAACTAACGATTCGTCGAAACGAATAGAAATCATTTCGGTAAATTTATTTTTCATATTTACGAAACGAAATGGCATAAGTTTCATTAGTGGAGCGTTTCAGATTTTTTTTCTCCAAAATCCGCGTTAACTGTTGTATTTGTTCCCCTGCTCTCACCTTTATGAATTCGCCTTGCTCTAAACATTGTCGTCATGAGGTCTTACGTAAAAATCGGCAGCTACATTTCATATTCATACTTTAATAATGACAGTATGAAAATGGAGTATCCGGAATTGGTGAACCCGAAACCCCGATCGATGGCGATGGAAAAGACGTTTCATTATCTGACCAAAAAGAAGTTCGAATAGAAATCGCCTGCTAAAAAAACAACAATGAGGCTGCATCAGCTACTTTGCAAAATATGATCGGACGAAAGCATACCCGACGCTTCGAATTTAAGTGTGCTTTGCCCAATCCACAAAAAAGGCGATCCCACAGTCAGCGCTACTTATCGGGGCATAAGCCTTCTTAATATCGCCTGTAAGGTCCTGTCGAGGGTATTGTGTGAAAGTCTGAAGCCCACCGTCAACAAACTAATTGGACCTTATCAGTCAACCATTGACCAGTTATTCACCATGCGCCAAATCTTGGCATACATTCATGAAAAGGGGATCAACACACACCACCTCTTCGTCAATTTTAGAGCAGTCTTCAACAGCACGAATAGAAGCTGCATTCACACCACTATGCCTGAATTTTTTTATACCTGCAAAACATACACGTGAGGAGCGAAAATCTCCTCTCAGTGCCGTTCGATAGAAAATGATGCTTCAGACAGCGCGATTCCTTATCGTGTGACTTCTTTAATTTATTGCTAGAGAATATCATAAGAACTACAAAGCTGAATAGAGAAGATACTCTATAAGAGTGTACAGCTGCTGGCGTACGCCGATGATATTGACATTATCGGCCGCAACAGCCGCGCCATGAATTCTACTTTCTCCAGACTAGACAAGGAAACGAAGGAAAGGGGTCTGGTAGTGAACGGGGGCAAGACGAAATATCTGCTATCATCACACAAACAGTCATCGCATTCGCGACTCGGTCCCCACGTCACTATTGAAAGTCATAACTTGGAAGTCGTAGATAATTTTGTCTATCTTAAATCCAGTTTTAACACCAACAGCACTGTCAGTTTGGACTGAGAAGGCAATT